ATTGGCTTGCCCAAATGGATAATAAAGAAGACATGCTACATGCTACAAGTGGATGTAGAAACTAGCCTGTTGTGGAAAGCTAAAGCTCCCATTTTTTACTCTGGCCCCTTTTGCCACAGGTGAGGTACACCATTCACTAGTGGCTCCGAGAAACTTGCCCAGAAGGGAGTGAAGCCCTCAGGTTGAAAAAGCTTCTGCATCCCTCTTATACAACATCCACTCCTCTTCATTCGTTTCTGCAAGGAGGGAAGAACATTGGAGTACAGACATGGGTATGGGAGTTAAATCCCGAAGCTTTTTTTATCCCTATCTTTGAACCTTGTGGTCTGTGATGCTGCTTCTGCTTGTAAAGAAGCTGCAGATTTTTATGAATTCAATCAAACCATGCATGCCCCTTTTGCTGCATCCACAATCTCATCACTTCTCAGTGGGTGAGTGTATAATTCGTCATAGAAAGAATGGCCCTTTTGCAGAGACTGCAATAGCCCTAAGGCCTCTTCTCCCTCATGTGCAAACATTTTTTAGAAGAAGACGAAGAAGAAGAAGAAGAAGAAGAAGAAGAAGAAGAAGAAGAAGAAGAAGAAGAAGCCCTTTCTACACCAGCCCTTTCTAGGAATCAGTTCTGTGATCATCTTTTCTCAGAGACCAAGACATACTTAGTCATTTATCATCTGGTGACTGCTCAATGTCCTCATCAGGTTGCATGGTGGAGGGACCCATGGTTGTATTGTTTTCTACAGGCAGCAAAATGTCTTGGGCCTGCCCTGAGAGCTACCTGAAACCCACAGTTACAACTTCCAGGTAAATTCAAATATGCAGATTCAAATTCCCCCTGTGTCACTGTAGCACCCTGCTTGTGATTAATGCTTAGCTGGAATGAAATATTCAACGCAGCAATAGAGAAATTAAAATAATTTATTTGTCAGACAAATAAATGAGAGACACAGTGGTATATGGTTACCAAAGCTCTGCCGTTCCAGCCCTAATGGCCAGCATTTATAATCCCTCAGCCCAGCCCCCTTGCTCCTCCTTTGGCTGCCTCTGTCCAATCAGCCTGGTTGAAATTCCTATTGGCTGTTTGCTAGAACCAATCATAAAAGATACACCCATTTCCTATTGCCTTTTATGGGAGACAAAGAGCTATATTTCCTTCTATCTATAAATGGCAAACAAGTAGTCATATATTTTACATTTGCCTCAACAAGGCACCTTAATTACCAGCTCACCTCTTGCCCTCCTTGCTCTATTGCCCTCCAGAACAGATGGCTAATGGTTTTAAATTTTTATTTTAAACAGAGGTCAGAGATCTTAGGTTCACATTCTCACGCGTCATCAATGAAAGATCTCCTTCTTTGGAGGTCTTTAAGCAAAGGCTTGACAACCATATGTCAGGAGTGCTCTGATGGTGTTTCCTGCCTGGCAGGGGGCTGGACTCAATGGCCCTTGTGGTCTCTTCCAACTCCATGATTCTATGATTCTATGAAATAAGAATCTAACATTTCTTACTTTCTAAATCCTTTGCATAATTACATTCAAGCCAATATATTTCATACAGAACATATATAGATTTTTAGTAGAAAAGTAACTTAGAGAACTTAGAGAATTTAGAGAATTTTCTCTGAAGCTTCAAAGCAGTTTCAGAGAGCTGCTTTGCCTATTTCAGCTGCTATTTGCCCTTTTAACCTTTGGCTCAAGTCTCTAATGGGAGACACATGGTAATTAGTGCTTTTTACAGCTTGATTGTATTCTGTAGGGTCAGTAACCTAGTAACCTTTGCTCCCAGCCTGTAATTCCCTTTTTTACAACCCTGAAATACATTTATAGATCAGTGGGGCCTTTGTTCAGGATGAGCATCTGCCGATGCACCCAGGCAGCTGCTTTATGCCTGGCATGAGAGAATGAGAGATACAAACATTTACAAATATATATATATATTTTAAACTCATTTTAAAATGCAGATCTTCATCAGATGCCTCATCACAAGGTCTTCTTGGATTCCTCCAGTTCAGTTGCACCATTCACGCTTTTGCATGACAGTCCACATGGTCTGTTTATCGCATGTATGTATTTATTTACTTTGAAATTCTGTCAGTTGAATGATTTCCAAGATGGCTTACAACAGGCTGAACACCTGTACAGCCCAGTCACCAGGGACGTCTTTACCATTGGGCAAAGTGGCATGGCGAGCCAGGGTGCCAAATAGTCGAGGGTGCCAGGCGGAGAGTCAGGGGAGAGTCCGGGGAGCAGAGAGCGGGGAGGTAAGCGAGATGGAGTGGGGGCTTGGTGCCTGCGCGCCCCCAGTGCCCGTCGAAGGCGGGAAGGATCCCGATGCTTTCCCGCAGTCCAGAGCTCTCTCTGCTGGCTCCATGACACACCACCTCCTCGGCTGTGTGGTGTGTGCTTTGCATCCCAAGCTCTGCACATCATAAACATGACTCTACCACTGTTCCCCCGTCCACTCTACCTCGAAAGATCCCCGCGCTCGAGGCTACATGCTGCAACTGCTGCCCCCTCCCTCCTTCCTCTGCTTCTCCACTGCCTTGCCCAGAGCCTGCCTCATCCCGCTGCCCCCACCACCTCTGCACTTCTTCATACAAACCGTGTTTCCTTCCCCTGCCTGATCCCCTCCCAGTCACACTCTCTCCTTCGTTCCCAAGCAAGGATGGCGAGACTGCAGCTGAGCGAGCACGCTTATCTGCTGCTGTGATGCGGACGGCCCAGCTCGCTTCGCCTGTCCCTGCCCAGACGAGACTCCTGCCTGCCTCCCATGCTGCCCCCATGGCGCCCGGCTGCCCAGCCCCACATTATGATCCCTCCGCGGGAGCCAACGTCTGTCCGCACGCGAGCAGCATGGGGCAGCAGCGCGAGGGCGGGAGCAGCCTTTCCAAATTGGGTGGGGGGGAGAGGGATCTTTGCACCATGGCTCCAGATATGCGTAAGACGGCCCGCCAGTCACCAGGCTTTTCTTTTGTTCTGATATCAACAATGGAAGCTACATTGTGTTCAGTTAGGTTGCATTTACCTCACAGTGGGGGGAGGGAGAACCTCTTTTCCAAGGCTTTCTTTGTGCATGCTTCTTTCCTGCTGAGACCAAGCCTGCACACAGAAACTGAGCAGGATTTAACCCCTGCTAGCCACATAGGGGAAAGTGTGTCCATTCCAAGAAAGCCTTTTAAAATCTCACAATACCTCTTGTGAGATTTTAAAAGACAAGCAGAACATACCACCTCTAATCATGTGATGTCATAACCACATTGTTAATTGAAAGAAGGGTATCTCAGCCTTTCCCAGAAGTGGATTTTTTAAATATTTATTTTTTATTGAGTTTCAGAACAGACACAAAAATATACAGAACAAAATGATAGTGCATTCAAAACTTTAAAACAGCATCTATCCCAACCCTCCCAGCATCTACTGACCCTCACTGGTCCTTCCCCAGAGAGAGAAATTTCATCAGCACATAGAAACATATCCATAGTTCTTGGTTATAGCAGGAACTGACAGATTAAAGAAAAGGAATTAAATGCATACATCAGAACCAAACAGATTTGTATTGGGTTGGAACAGATCTATTACCACCTTGCATATCACTGAAATGTTTCTACCTTACTTTGAAAAGACAGCAATGTTGAAGCATGACACAGCTAAGAGTCATTACAGAAATGTGGAGCCACTGCAGAGAAGGCTCTGCCCATGTACACCCGCAGTAGGGGCTGGAACCATCAGATTCAAAGCTCAGAAGCTGGAACCATAATCCACCCACTCATAAAATGCCTTATAACCTAAAAACCGCTGGATCCAGGAGTTGTTTATTCCTCCTCCTCCATTTCATTTCTGCACTGCTTAAGAAGAAGAAAAACCTCAAACCAGTTTACAACACATTAAAACATCAAATAAAACAATCCAGAATAGACAATTACAGAAGAAAGACAAATATAAATTATACATTCAAAGCAACATAATTAACAGGAAAGTAATACATGATCTTAAAAATTTCCTAATAAAATAATGGAAAGGATATCAACTACAGATGCACATTTAACACATTAAAGTTCATAAAAATATTTTTTTTATTTATGAAATTTCTATACCGCCCTTGATCTGAGGATCACAGAACAGTTTACAATATAAAAACACAGAAATCCATAGCATAGTAAACATTAATCTAAGCATTTCAAAAGAAAACATTACTAAAAGAAGTCAAATACAAAATGCTGGGATCAAGGCACATTAGAAATCACCTGTTTCCCCCCGATGGCCCTTTTCTCTCCAGTCTCCACCTTCTTCTAGCTATGACTCAACTCACAGTTTTTCTAAATATAGACTTCCTGCTATGAGCAGTGCTGGGATGTGGAATCATAACAAATGGGAAATAGCAGCCACATCAAAGCCATCTTCCTCCCTACCTGTCTCATATATGCAGGTTTATAGCATCTGGACACAAATAATCAATTAAAAACAAGTGAAAATATATGGCACATGCAGGGACAGGTATATAGGTAAGGTCAGTTGAATACAATTATGTTTTTATCAGCCTGTATCTCCACTGCAAGAAGTAAAAATTAATTCAAATATTAATGAATATAAACTTTCATAGGGTTTAATTCAAAGGATTTTCACATGTTCATATTGGGCATTCAGCACTAACATCAGTGTTAAATAAGTTTTAGATCATTTAGATTTCAATGGGAAATGGCAGTTCTATACACAATAATCTCCAGTAATCTCCAGGAACCCAATTACCATCAGCTCTAGCATGTATGGCTAGTAGATATGGAGAATGGATGTTGTAGTACAACAGCACCCAGAAAGCCACATATACTTACCCCTGGTCTAAAGACATATACAGATGAAGTAAACGTGTGATATATGGCTACAATCCAATGTATACTTTGCTGAGACTAGAATTCCTATTCAATGTAGTGATATCCACTTCTAAGTAAACAAACATAGGATTGAAATAAACTTAAGCACACCATCTAGGCAACTGAAACTGTTTCCTAAAATGGAGAATGGTTTTTGTCTAAGAATTGGGGGGAAATATTTACCAGCAACTTCCAGAATGCCATTTTAAGATCTTTGTTTCTTATGCTATAGATGATTGGATTCATTAGTGGTGGCACCATGCAGTAGAACATAGAAACCAAGAGGTCAAATGCTGATGGGGACCCAGATGTTGGTCTTAAATAGACAAAGGTGCCACTTACCAAAAACAGGGTGATAACAATAAGGTGAGGCAAACAAGTTGAGAAGACTTTTTGCTTCCCTTGTTTGGATGGGATTTTCAGGACTGCTCTGAAGATGTGAATGTAAGAAAAAGCAATAAGAGCAAAGTAGATGAAGGCTAAACAAGCTCCAAAAGTCAGAACCCAAATCGCAGTGTTATCCGAGTCAGAGCAAGAGTTCTTCAGCAGTTGTGGTATTTCACAGAAAAACTGATTGATGACATTAGAACAGAACTCAACTCTGAATGTTGTTCCGGTGTACATTGTTGTATAGAAAAATCCACCAATCCATGCACTGGTTGCCATCTGAATGCAAGCTTTCTTGTTCATGACAGTCTCATAATGCAGTGGATTGCAGATGGCAACATAGCGATCATATGCCATGACACCAAGGAAGACGTAGTGGGACATCATGAAGAAAACAAGGAAGAATATTTGGCAAACACATCCAGAGTAAGAGATGGTTTGGGTCTTCATCAAGGAATTTGCAATGGACTTGGGAACTGTAACCGATATGGAGCCAATGTCTTGCAATGACAGGTTGGCCAGAAAGAAATACATGGGTGTATGAAGCTGGTGGCTGTAGAAGATGACAGTGATGATGATAAGGTTTTCTATGAGGGCCACCAAATATATTATGACAAAAAGGCTGATGTGAATTACCTGCACCTCCCGAATATCAGGGAATCCATGTAGAAGGAATCCACTTACTCTTGACTGGTTCATCATTGTGCCTCAGATTTTGGTTCCTAGGAAAATGAAGCTACCATACTACTTCTTTCTCTTTCAGTTGTATCAGGAAATATTTCTCTCTGTACTGTATGTGGTGACGGGTGGTATGTACAACAATAAGCTTTATAGATGTCTCACTTCTAATTATACCCCGAAGGTTTAATTCTCATGAGCCTCCTACATACAGCTCAGCAAATGTGGATCAAATGTGTATTTGAGGGTTGAGATGCAGCTATAATGACTATGATCCAAAGTTCTGCTTTAGCGTATGTAAAGGGCTTGCACCAGAGTGGGGGGGGGAGGTTCTTTTTTTTAAAAAAAAGTTCCTAAAGCAGTTTTCTCTATGGCATAACCCTGTGTGGGTTGTTGGCTGATGCTATTTAACACATCTAGGACTGCAATCCTTTACACAACTATGTGGGATGAAGTCCTATGGAACCCTGTATGAGTTAATTCTACGAAGACATGTATAGGATTATGCTGTAAAATCATCTTCTGCTCATGAAATTGGTTTTCTTTGTTGCCTACCCCCTGCCAGAAAGTTCTAAATCAAAGCAAGTAATAACTGATCAATAATGGCAAACGAATTCCACAACACTTACATGTTGTATATGATTTAAGGCTAGCATCCACGGAACAATGTAAATTGCCTTATAATAATAATAATAATAATAATAATAATAATAATAATAATAATAATAATTTATTATTTATACCCCGCCCATCTTGCTGAGTTTCCCCAGCCACTCTGGGCGGCTCCCAATCAGTGTTAAAAACAGTACAGCGTTACATATTAAAAACTTCCCTGAACAGGGCTGCCTTAAGATGTCTTCTGAATATCAGGTAATTATTTATCTCTTTGACATCTAATGGGAGGGCGTTCCACAGGGCGGGCGCCACTACCGAGAAGGCCCTCTGTCTGGTTCCCTGTAGCCTCACTTCTCGCAATGAGGGAACCGCCAGAAGGCCCTCGGCGCTGGATCTCAGTGTCCGGGCTGAATGATGGGGGTGGAGACGCTCCTTCAGGTATACAGGACCGAGGCCGTTTAGGGCTTTAAAGGTCAGCACCAACACTTTGAATCGTGCTCGGAAACGTACTGGGAGCCAATGCAGGTCTCTCAGAACCGGTGTTATATGGTCCCGGCGGCCACTCCCAGTCACCAGTCTAGCTGCCGCATTCTGGATTAATTGCAGTTTCCGGGTCACCTTCAAAGGTAGCCCCACGTAGAGCGCGTTGCAGTAGTCCAAGCGTGAGATAACTAGAGCATGCACCACTCTGGCGAGACAGTTCGCGGGTAGGTAGGGTCTTAGCCTGCGTACCAGGTGGAGCTGGTAGACAGCTGCCCTGGACACAGAGTTAACCTGCGCCTCCATGGACAGCTGTGAGTCCAAAATGACTCCCAGGCTACGCACCTGGTCCTTTAGGGGCACAGTTACCCCATTCAAGACCAGGGAATCCCCCACACCAACCCGCTCCCTGTCCCCCAAAAACAGTACTTCTGTCTTGTCAGGATTCAACCTCAGTCTGTTAGCCGCCATCCATCCTCCAACCGCCTCCAGGCACTCACACAGGACCTTCACCGCCTTCACTGGTTCTGATTTAAAGGAGAGGTAGAGCTGGGTGTCATCTGCGTACTGATGAACACCCAGTCCAAACCCCCTGATGATCTCTCCCAGCGGCTTCATATAGATATTAAAAAGCATGGGGGAGAGGACAGAACCCTGAGGCACCCCACAAGTGAGAGCCCAGGGGTCTGAACACTCATCCCCCACCACCACTTTCTGGACACGGCCCAGGAGGAAGGAGCGGAACCACTGTATGACAGTGCCCCCAGCTCCCAACCCCTCTAGACGGTCCAGAAGGATGTTATGGTCGATGGTGTCAAAGGCCGCTGAGAGATCCAGCAGAACTAGGAAACAGCTCTCACCTTTGTCCCTAGCCCGCCGGAGATCATCAACCAGTGCGACCAAGGCAGTTTCAGTCCCATGGTGAGACCTGAATCCCGATTGGAAGGGATCCAAATGGTCCGTTTCCTCCAGGCGTGCTTGGAGTTGTTCAGCAACCACCCGCTCAATCACCTTGCCCAAGAATGGCAGATTTGAGACTGGGCGATAGTTGGCCAAATTGGCCGGGTCTAAAGATGTTTTTTTAAGAAGCGGTTTAATGACCGCCTCTTTCAGCGGGTCTGGGAAGGCTCCCTCACAGAGGGAAGCATTCACCACCCCGCAGAGCCCATCGCCCAGCCCTTCCCGGCTCGCTTTTATCAGCCAGGATGGGCAAGGATCAAGGAGACAGGTGGTCGGTTTCACTTTTCCAAGCAGCCTGTCCACATCCTCGGAGGTAACAGACTGGAATTGATCCCATGTAACAGGACCAGACAGAACTCTAGCACTCTCCCGCCCTGGCCCTGCTCCCACGGTGGAGTCTACCTCCTTCTGAATCTGAGCGATTTTATCTGCAAAAAACTTTGCAAAAGCATTGCAGGAGATCTTGGGGTCCCTACCAGGCCCCGGTGGTACAGGTGGTTCCGATAGATTGCGAACCACCTGAAAAAGTCTCCTGCTGCTGTTTTCTGCAGATGCAATGGAGGCGGCGAAGAAGGCCCTCTTCGCCGTCGCCATTGCCACTTGGTAGGCTCGACGTTGAGCTCTAACCCGTGTCCGGTCTGATTCAGAATGAGTTTTCCGCCACCGGCGCTCTAGCCGTCTCAACGATTGTTTCATCACCCTCAGCTCCGGGGAAAACCGGAGCTCCATAGTGAGGGTTGTAGACCAACTTGTTGCATTAAAGCTGTGTCCATCTTTTTAATATAGCACAGAATGACTTCTAAGAGAAGACTCCACATTCTGTTTGTTGGCTGGCATTGCACGACCCAGTAGTGGGATGGCATCAGCGGACAGTCACCTTTGGGTCAGCCCACTGCGTAGAACACTGCCATGGAGGGGAAAACCTGAGGATGGCAGTAGCCAGGGTGGCAGGGATGGCAGTAGAGGAAAAGGGGAAGGTACCACCTCAGTATGCGGACTTGGAAGAAGTCTTCAGCGAGAAAGAGGCGGATAGGTTACCCCTTCACAGGCCCTTTGACTGTCAGATCAATTTACTCCCAGACGCTCAGCTGCCAGTGGGTAAGCTGTATGCCATGTCAGATAGGGAGATGCAGGAACTGAGGAAGTTTATCGACAAGAATCTGAAGCGTGGGTTCATACGGGAATCCAGGGCAGTGGGAGGCAGTCCAGTGTTCTTTGTGGACAAGAGGGACTCCAAGGAGCCCAGGCTGGTCGTAGATTTCAGGGCCTTGAACAAAGTGTCGGAACCAGTGACTTTCCCAATGCCCTGAATCGACGACATTTTAACCAGGGTAAGGAAGGGAAAGATTTTTACCAAGCTGGACCTTCGAGGGGCATACAACTTGATAAGGATGAGGGAGGGGGATGAATGGAAAACCACCATGTTCACCCCTCTGGGAGCCTTTGAGTACTTAGTTATGCCCTTCGGACTACAATCAGGCTCCGCCACATTTCAAAGCTTCATGCACCATGTGCTGGGGTCTCTGCTTTACAAGAATTGTGTAGCGTTCCTGGACGACGTCCTAATCTACTCTGAAAGCGAGGAGCAGCATGTAAAGGACGTCAGGGAAGTGCTGAAGAGACTGCAGGAGCACCGGCTGTGGGTCAAACTGGAGAAGTGCCAATTCCACGTGCAAGAGGTGGAGTTCCTTGGTTATCAATTGTCGGACAAGGGTTTGGCCATGGACCCGGGGAAGGTGCAAGCAGTGCTAGAATGGAAGCCTCCCAAGAACCGGAAGGACATGCAGAGGTTCTTGGGGTTTGCAAATTTCTACAGGAAGTTCATCAAGAACTTCGCCCATCTAACGGCACACATCACGGATTGTCTCAGCAGCAAGAAGAAGTTCCAATGGACGGAGGAGGCCCAGCGGTCCTTCGAAAAGCTGAAGAGGGCTTTCACTTCGGAAGAGCAGCTGCTACATGTGGATTTGAGTAAGCCAATGTGGCTGGAGACTGATGCGTCAGATAGAGCGATAGGAAGTATATTGCTCCAGCCTAGCGAGGGGGGGTGGAAGCCGTGTGCCTTCTTTTCCAGGAAGCTGAACCAGTCAGAGCAAAACTACACGGTGTATGATCGGGAACTGCTAGCGATTCACGAGGCCTTTCGACGCTGGCGACATTTTCTGATAGGTGCGCAGCACAAGATCCAGGTATGCACAGACCATAAGAACCTGGAATATTGGAGAACGGCGAGAGTTCTTAACCAACAACAGGTGCGGTGGGCACAGGAGTTTTCCAAGTTTAATTTTGTAATTAGGTATGTGCCGGGAAAGGAAAACGTCCGAGCCGGCGCCCTCTCCCGCAAACCTGAGTACGCAGAAGGGGAGGGAGGGCCAGAAGCACGTTATGTCATACCTGAGGACCGATGGGTGTGTGGGGGAGTGTTAGTAGGAAAACAAGAGCTGGCAGGTTTGACGAGGGAAGACCAGTATGCACAAACCAAGATGAGGGAAATCAGAAGCCAGGAGGAAGTGAAAGGGGATTTTGAAGTGAAAGATGGGGCATTGTACTATAAGGGTGCCTTGTACATACCTGAGGGGGATTTGAGGGGGAGGATACTCAAACAATTACATGACAAGCCCACAGCGGGACATTTTGGACAACACAATACAATGTTACTGGTCACCAGGCAGTTTTGGTGGCCACGGGTGAGGGAGGATGTGAGAGAGTACGTACGGGGTTGCAGCGCTGTCAGAGAGCCAAGGGGGAGAGGGCAGCACCTGCGGGGTTACTAAAGCCTTTACCCACACCAGAGAGACCATGGGAAGTGGTATCAATTGATTTCATGACTGATTTACCCAAGGCCAAGGGTAAAATGGCAGTTATGGTGGTGGTGGACTTGATGACCAAGATGTGCCATTTTATTGCATGCTCGCATGCGGCGTCGGCAGAAGACACCGCAAAACTGTTTGTAGAGCATGTTTTCAGGT